TATATATATAGGAATAAAACATTTTATATAATATGAGCTTAAATGCACTATATTGTGCGATATAGTGTCACAAATTGAAATTCTACAAGTTATATAAGTCAATATAAAAATATGTATTAAAATTATAGCAATATTTTGAGATGTGATATGTTGTAATAATTAATTATATCTTAAATTGCTTAATGATAAATTATTTAAAATATGTTTTTTTTTGTTTTCAGTGCCGATGGTAATTATGAGGTAACCATCATGACGAAGGCGATTTTGCACCATACGGGAAAGGTCGTGTGGAAGCCACCGGCAATCTATAAATCATTTTGTGAGATCGACGTGGAATACTTTCCCTTCGACCAGCAGACTTGTTTTATGAAGTTTGGTTCGTGGACTTACGACGGTTACACGGTAAGCAGATTAATCAAATATATAGTACGGGGTTATAAATTATTATTATTATTATATGAAGAAAGATTGTGCACACACACGTCTAAGTTTGCTTGTCAAATATTTGTACTAAAATAATTTTGAGAATTATGTCTCACTGAGTTATTACACACAAGTAATATATAATTACAATGCATAGAAAGAATATTAAAGGACAAGTAGAAAGTTGCAAGATTGTAGCTCTGATAATTATTTTACATATTTTTTTTGTAATTCTACAGAATTATTTCGCGAAGAATTTTATAATTGGTCATATAAAAAAAATTGGAATTTATAAATTCTAACGCGTAACACGAGATAATATTTATGTACAATATTTTACGACAATTTATGGCACACATGTTGCATGAGCTTAAATAAACGAGGAATATGTCATATATATTTCTCAAAAGTTGTGAAAATAGCTTTTATTACGTGTTTCAATAAAAATTTGCGCGTTTGTTATTATAAAATATATTCCATAGCTTAAATATATATATTTATAAAGTATGGATGTAATTTAAATAATATTATGCGCTCAGCACATCTACAATAAATTAAATTTATATTTTTACATATATTTTAAAAAGTCAGATTTTTGCATTATCATTATAAATTGTATGTATAATTTTATAAACATTTTCAAATCCATATATGAATTATATAAAGTAATACTTTAAATATTTATTATACAAATATTGTATATAAATTACCTCGAATTAATTTGTATAACGACGCATATATATTACACGCCTAAAATTTTGGGGATTATTTAATTAAATATTATTTTTATGTATATTTTATCTA